GCTCAAGCACTGTACTGTCCTGGGAGCCTGGTGTTTGTTAAAGAGTGCAGTATTGCCTGCAGTTGTGTCTGAAAGGGTCTTGGCCAGACATGGCTCTCTGGGAGAGTACTGTTATCTCAGCCCAGCTGACAGAGTAGGACAAAAGCAAATTTTTTGGTACCACCATCTTCCTGAAGCGGTGTGAGGGTAATACACCATTTACTTCCTTCCCAGCCAGTTTTAGGCATCTGGATTAATATGCCAGAGTGACTGCAAATTCATTTTCCTCATTGGCATTCTCTTTCATTTTTCTCATACATTTTTGAGACTTCAGCATTATGTTTGATTTCAGAAATGGACTATGATCCCAAAGCTCTGCTTCCACCCAGCAATTTCAATATCCAGACTAGAAGKAACTGTTCAGGCCACTGAAGGCACAGTGCTGGTTAAAAACTTGTAACATCAACACCTGCCATCAGATCGGTGTTTTCCCTGATAAAGATGATGTGAAAATGACTCACTTGTTATGAAAACTGCCCCCAGATAAATCAAGCAGGGGCTAAACCTCCCTARAATMATCTTCTTTAAAATYATATTTTATMTTCAGCAACTAAACTCTGTACATAYRATCACAGAATCAYAGAAACATTTAAATTGCAAAAGACCTCAAAGATCGAGACCAACCATGAAGCCGGAACTGCCAAGWCCAACWCTAMACCATGCCCCTAAGTGCCACATCTACACAGCTTTTAAATACCTCCTGGGATGGGGACTCAGCCACTTCTATGGGCAGGGGGTTCCAAAGCTTTTCAACTCTTTYGGTGAAGRAATTTCCAATCTAAACYTCCCCTGATAAACCTTGAGGGCATTTCCGTTTATCACTTGAGAGAAAACGCCAATCCCAACCTGGCTATACCCTCCTTTCACAGAGTTGTAGAGAGTGATAAAGTTTCCCATGAGCCTCCTTTTCGCCAGGCTAAACAACCCCAGTTCCCTCAGCTGCTCCTCATAAGACTTGTACTGCAGATTCCTCAATAAACCTTACTCACAGAGAGTAAATTTGGAGGAGCTCGTTGGAATACAGAAAAGCTGTGTGCAACTGGTTATATTGGCACCTTTTCTCACCCTGAGACTGGGTATCAGAGATGGGAAAAAAAAAAAATCACCAAAACCATAGTTTTCAGACAATTAATAACAGGATTCTTAATGYTCATCTTTTGCATCTTTAGTGATTTACCACAACAGGATTTTATCAAAAAGATATCAAGTTCTTAACCCAAGGTCATGCTCCAGAAATATTTGGATTAAAAGTTCTGCTTTATGGAGGGGCAAATTCAGCTGTGAAGACCAGGTGAAGGCTGAGGTTTGCCCAAGAGATGCAGGTTACATGGTTCTAAAACCATTGAATTAAAGCAGCTGAGATAGAAAACTCACCTTGACCCCTAGCATTTTTTTGGGGGATCATAGCATAATATGCAAAATTATCAATAACCCAGCCACATTCAGTTCCCCAGCTGTGTTGTTAAGGCTTTTTCCTCTTTTTCCTTTCAGGTCTGAGAACACAGAGCACTCTGGGAAGCAATCATGAAAGCTATCACCACACCACTTGTTCCATCACGTGGTTCTTTTGGTAGCATACTCAGAGAAGGGCTTRTGCCAAGGCTATAGGTGTATTTCCCTGATCCAGAGATGTGGAATACAGTGCACTCAATGACATTCACCCCATTTTCTTTTCTTCCCCAAAACAAATAAACCAAATCCTTCTTCAGCCATCTATTTGGAATGAGGGTTTTTGACAAGCATTAAATTAYCACCATGAATCTCACACTTCACAGCAGCCTTGGTGTCTGGCAGCACTCAAAGACTCTCAGAGCAGTGGCTAAAGGCTGCTAATGAAAAGCAGCAGCCCCACTCTCACCATCAKCCCTGTAACCTCAGCCATGGCACTGTGCTCTGTGCAAAGCACAGCTCCTTACCCTTTGCAAGTACGGATATCCCCAGATGATAGGGGGATTTATTCCCTCTTTTAGCCCAATCTATAACTTTGCCTATTTTTGGAAGGAAGTCTGAATAGTCTAAAGCATCTACTGTATAGATAGAACAGCAAAGGTGCAAAAGGCTCTCCTCCTTTTCTCAAGCACCTTTCCGGCCACCTCTCTTTTAACACTGCAGGAGCTATCAAGTCAGTCATGTAGCTTTGCACATCACTCAAAGGTGGCCACAACTGTGAAATCCACACTGCTACTCTTAATGAGAAAGAATAGGAACAGACCCAGACAAAGCTCTTAGGCATATCCACCTCATCATGGAATGGGTTGGAAGGGACTCTGAAGCAATCAAGTTGCAGTCCCCTGCCATGGGCAGGGACACATTTCACTAGACCAGGTTACTCAGAGCTTCATCCGGCCTGGCCTTGAACACTACCAGGAATGGGGCATCCACATCTTCTCTCAGCAATCTGCTTCAATGCCTCACCACCCTCAGAACAGAGAAAATATAAAGATTATATAATCTTCAAGCTGCCTACAACTATGTTTTTTTTTTTTTTTTTCTAGTTTTATGGTATAAACTAAGATTTTGTTCCATTGCACATGTTAAGCCCCTAGGTTATATGAATGCAAGTCACTACTTGGTCTTTTGCCTAATTACCACAGGAGAACAGTCTACATGCAGTCGCTCTGTTGCTTCTCCTGTTGAGTATCAGTGGGAGGGAAAAGCATGACAGGGAAAAGGAAAGATCATTGCATTTCCACCAACCTGCACCAGTGTTAATGGTTTCACAGGATGAGTAAGAAGGGACCACAGTGGGTCACCTTGTCCAAYCTCCAAAGGTCTCCTAGACCATGAAACTCAGGATTGTGTCCAGACATCTTCTGAATATCTCCAGTGAAGCAGACTCCACAATTTATCTGGGCAATTTGTTCTGGGGCTCACCTGCACAGTAAAGAAGTTCTTCCTCATTCTCAAGTGGAACTTCCTGTGYATSAGTTTCTGCCCATTGCCTCTTGTCCTATTGCTCAGCACCACCAAGAGCCTGGCTCCATCATCTTGTCACCCTCCTTCAGATACTGATAGACATTAATAAGATCCATTCTCAGTCACCTCTTCTACAGGCTAAATAGGCCCAGCTACCTTATCCCATTATCACCACAGGACCTGGTCCAGCACCTCCATGTCTCTTTTCTACTAGGAGCCCAGAACTGGATACAGCATTCCAGATGTGGCCTCACCAGGGCTGAATATAGAGGAAGAACCAATTCCCTAAACCTGCAATGCTTTTTCTAGCACACCACAGGACACCACGTATCTCCTTGGCCAAAAGAGCACTGCTAGTTAATGAACAGTTTGTTGTCCACCAGGTCTCTTCCGACCTTAATGACTCTGTGATTCTATGATGTGCTCCTCTCCATCCATCCATAAAAGGAAATGGCTCCCAAGTATACGGCTGCCTTTATCCAAGTTAGAAGGGAAGTACTGACAAACCATAAAATTATGCAGGCACAAGCCTGTTGTATCCTTTGGAGTATCTCAAATTTTTAGCTACTTAGTGTAAAGCACACAGCTATGAATAAAAATCTTTTCTTCATTAATGCTTGTTTAGGCTAAAGCCCTAGGATTAGCAGTGCTCTAAGTATTTTAAGACAGTATTTTATTAATAATTAAAACTACTTAGTCTAAATTTGGTTTTGCTCTCTCATTAAGTACAGCTGCATGACCAGATGTAGGTTCAAAGTTAAAACATTTGCAGCAAATCTCTCCAAGTTCAGTGGGAGATGTGAATTGTCACTGCAAGAAGCACGAAATCACCACAGGGGCACAGAACATAAGTGATGCACTCACACACCTGTATTTATCTGCCTCTAGAGTACCCGATTTTCACAGACTTAGAGTATCACCCATCTAGAGACATTATTAAAATAAATAAAAACTAAAGAAAGCTCTGATTTTGGAAAGTAATCTATCACTTCTGATTTGATACATGCAGCTCTCTACAGAACCACAGAATCAATGAGGCTGGGAAGACCTCTGAGATCATCAAATTTAACCTGTGATAAAACACCACCATTTCACCTACACCATGGCAGTAAGTGTCATCTCCAGTGTTTCCTTAGAATCTTCAGGGACAGTGACTACACTACCTCTGTGAGCAGCCCATTTTAATGTCTAGTCACCCCGTTCTGTGAAAAAATCCCTCCTAATGTTCAACCTAAACCTCCCTGGCCCATCTTAAGAGTGTGCTCCCTTGTCCTGTCGCTGCTGCCTATGAGCAGAGGCTGACACCCACCTGGCTACACCCTCCCTTCAGGTAGCTAAGAATCTGTGAGTATRCAACACTGTATCTATGCATATACATCTACACCGGTTTACTTTYCTAAGAGCCTCCTCATCAACCAGTTCACCAGAGATATCTCTTTTTTGAGGGGTCGGCTGTGCTACACATTTTTTCTTTCCCCTTGCTCCTTCAAAGTTTCCCTGCAAGTTACAACAGTGCACCTGAAAGGTTCAAGTTGTTCAGAACACTTCAGAAMAGGTCTGAAGCACAATTTGTGTTCTTCACAGGCAATGAGACACTTACTGGGGTCATCTCTGTCTGAGGTATGGCAATGGAGCCTCTCAAGCTGTAACATCCGTTACGAACAAAATGGAAGTTCTGGGGAAGGGAATTTTCCTGAATTTAACAATAGAAGACAAGCACTTATCTCTCTGCAGAACATCCACAAGGAAGATGTGGCATTCTTAAAATATCTTTATGCTCAGTTATGAGTAGGACTATTCATCCTACACCCTAGTCCTGCATACAGGAAGGGACGAGCTCATAGCAGAATAATTTTTTCAGCAGTGGCAACAACTGCACGATGATTACCTTCCACCCAGTGTGGGATTCCATCAGAGATCATGGATGGTTTGGCAAGCGTTGGGGCATTACTACATGACTGTGGAAGTTTCTCAGCTTTTATTAATCAGATTCCCAACAAAGCAGTAAAAYCCTGTAACAGAAAGCCACACTGCTCATTCCTGAATCATATGAAATAATTCACCATTTTATGTACAAGTTTTGAATTACAATCTTCAACTCCTCATCAGAAAATATAACAAACCAAAAAGCCCAAAAAAGCTTTTTTGGAAGAACTGCATAGTATACAGAAGTATACTTCAATTACACAATATCTTACAGAACACATACTGTAACAAAAAGCAGAGCCTGTTACCTTTTCTGAGAAGGCAGTGCCCAGCCAAAACTAGATGTTTCATCTCCAGTATTAGAGGAAGAGCTTTAACTGGACAGAAGAGTACATGAAAAAAGTTCCTCAACAGTCCAGATAGTTTAACAGAAAAATAAAAGTACATTTGTAAACAACTTTAAAACAAGAGTCTTAAAGGTCACTGAAAGTTAAGCTGTTAAACTCTTAGCCCAAACTGCTATGTTCTACCCATATAGGGTTTGCGATAAACAGATTTTGCCACGTGGAAAACCTCAGYGATAAATCTGTGCAAGTATTTTTTTAAATTTTTGATGGAATTAAGAAAGGGACAATTTGAAGGCAAAAGGTCCAACTCCGAATTCCCTTTGAAAATTACAGGAGTGATATAACCTAACCATTGATTGAAGCCAACAGTGCATGGTAGCACAGTGCTTATTTTATCATGTCAGTCCCTTTTTAATGTAAACCCTGAAAAATCACAAGCAACTGCTAGAAATTACTTATGTATTATATATCATTAATTTATCACTGCATTCACTTTCATTATTCAAACCTTGCCATAAAGTGACTTTTCCTATACAACACTGATTTACCTTAAGTATATCTCTTTTGCCACACAGCAAGATGTAAAAACTGTACTGGGAAATGATTTTGTGTTGCCAACCATGCCTCTGAAGTCAAGCATCAGTATTTATGCTGCTCTACCTAATGCTTCAGTGCATGTTCAGTAAGCTGCTGATCACGGAGTGTCTCCATTTTGGTAGACAGACAGATGTATGTGAACAGCAATGCTTCGGATAACTTGTGCTATTCCTAATACTAGAGTTATTTTCTCCCCCAATTACATTTTGCTATAAATACGTGTGGCCTTAAGTTGATCCCAATATCAGTTTCAGCTAACTAATCAAATTATCTGTTCAGGTTTTGGGAATGAGAACCCTTCCTTTATTTAAATAAGATGAGGGAAAGGTTTCTAACTCCCAAAGGTTTGCCAACAATAGATTTATTTTCCAGATAGGACATTCAGTAAGTTGTTCGCCATCTTTGCTGTTCGCAGATAAGCACAACAGTGTTAATGGCTTTCATTAAGTAGGCAGGAAAGAGAAAATATTGTAAAGTTTCCCCCCTCAAGGTTTTTCCAAGTTCTGCTCATGGACTCTTATGAATAACCATTCATTTGAAATGGGCATATTTCAAATTTCAGATTACTTCTATTTTATTTATGGGGCTCAGAAGCAAAAAAAACCCTTAAATTTCCTATTTTTCTTTTGCAAACATATGTTATTAAAACCCTGCCTGTAACTGAGTACATCAAGAACTTAGGTATGTATGTAAGGAGGAATTTACCATTATATTTAGAAGTGCCTCCTTTTTGTACCAGTTAAAAGTTAATTCATAATCCAAATAATCAATCTGCACTGTAATCAAGTAATTATTTTCTCATATGTAATAACGGTAAATAACAACACTGAGCACTACATGTGCCACTCGAGTTCATTAAATGCAATTCTTCAGTCACAAAGCAGCAGGCATTCTGTGATGGACTTCCTTTGAGCTGTGTTCAAATGAGTGGAATAACTGAGATTCCTGATGGAGATCTAAGCCATTTCCCTCATTTTCTTAACAGTTTCGACTATTTGCATACTCAACTCCATTTTAAAATCTGCTATTTAAAATAAATTCATTTCCTCAAACTCTTCTCTCCCTATCTAAAACAGACTTATTTACATTTATGGTAAGTGTTTGTCACCAAGTAAGTTGCAAGAAATAAAAACCTTTTCAGACAAAACCAATAAGGGAGCAAAAACATAAAGGGAGCAAGTATTTCAAGTTCTGTATTAATTTCTTTTCTGAATTTTCTCCCAAAGACACTACAGGTACAAAAGTTTTAAAGGTTTAAAACACACTTTCACATATTTTTGATTATTTCTCTTTTATACAAGGGACCAACTGTGTCCGGTGATCACCTTCCTAACATTTGCCCAATATTCAAATGAAACTGCATGTCATTCACCCCAAGAAAGTAAAGAAAATACAACCTTTTACTTCAAATATTTTATGAATGCAAGATTACAAGAAATATATTAGTCAAAATGCAGGGCTATCAAGCACTGAACCAAGAATGCTGGCATCAGTTTGCCTACCATTTTGCATGTGGAAAAAATACACTATGTCTACAGGCAAAAGGCATCACTAATGCATCATGAATTACTCTGGTCAGCCACCACCACCTCTGCAGCTTGGTGCATGTTTCAGTTTATTATGAAAATAATCATCATAATAATAGTTTGAGATGAGACACTGGAACAAAACCATTTTTAAACAGGAAAGTTGGTTTTTTTGCTCTTACCGAGGTAACGCCAAAAACTAAAAATAAGATCTCACAATTTAGCAGCCTCCTCAACACTTGTTAGGCTAGCCTTCACACAAGGAGCATGCAAACAGCCACTCTTCTTGCTTTAAATTGAGGGCTATTGGTTTATYCAAGTCACTGTTTTTTCACCCTATTCAATTAACCTGTTGAATTGGATGTCCACCTAGGAAGAAGAAAATTAAATGATGTTAAGTGTAGCAGACAAGTACAGATCACACCAAGAAGCTAACACTCATGAGCTGTCATAATAAGGGATAATAATAAAAAAAAAAATCAGTCTTTTCTGTGCATATTTTTCATTTGAAAAGTCCCAGGAAATCATGATGTGCCTGGCCGTTTCTGTTGCTGATTTCTGATGACCTCTAATTGTTTTTTGCATTGCTGATAGTATGTTGAGAGGCTTTTGTTTTCATCTAACAGCTTTTTATGTTCCTGTACCAGACGGGATGTGTTTTGCTGGTCTTTTTCATCCTGGTCCAGTTCTGCTATTAGTTCCTGTCTGAAATAAAAAAAAAAAGTCATGTATAATCTATTTCTATTTGTGTATAGATGACTTCATGTTTCAAATCAGTATTTGATTATCAATCTGAACTCACAGCTGATGGTATTTTGTGCAAAACAGTTGACAAAGGAAATGTTATTCCTTAATGCAGTCTGGGAGAAAATTCCCTTCCAAATCAAATCGACATTTAAACTTAAAACAGCTGAAAGACAGAACATCAGAATCTAAAAGTGTCCTTTAGATAATATCTTTCAGATGTAGGTTTACAGGTCACAGTAAAATATCTAAGGAGCCACACAAAACTTTAAAAATATATTCAACTCTAACTTTAGGTAACTACAAGTACATTTTAGATCTCCAAAGGCAACTTAAAACACGAGATTGCAGTAATTTGTGTAACTTTTTAGTGAAGTTGTATTTTCTATCTGGACTTGTGCTTATTAAAGCACAAGTGGAAAAGCAGAATCAAGGAAATTACTTTTCTAACTGGCATTTCACATTACTTATGCTGTAAGTATTCAACATGTTTTTTTTAGCGAAGATTTTAGAGTACCAAACACACTGATAATCCTGCTATAATTTATTCTGCAAAACTGATGTAGCAGTTTGTTTTACTATTTTTCATGAGGTGACAAGAAGGCAAGCTGTCAGCATTATTTTTGCAACAAAACAGCAAAGGAGAAAGTTCATGTTAATTAATTGTTGCCATATGATTTTTAATTAAAGAAAATGTAATAATTCTATGAGGGTTGAACTAATAACTACCTTAACCAGCATTAAATTCATCCATGACAATATCATTTTCTGTTTTAACACCTATGGACAATTACATTCTGACTAAGAAAAAGCAGTTTGGAAGAAATAAGAATACAAACCCCCTAGAAAAAAAAAAAGCAGCAATGTAAAAGTAGAATATTAACAGTTTTGAAACAAACGTATTTTAAATAATTTATTGACCCTCATGGACAACATAAATAAAATCAAGATATTAACTCTAGCTTCATTATCTCCTAGTTCAAGTCTAAAAATTCTAGTTACATGTTAAAAAACCAAATTATTCTCAGAATACTGAGCCCAAAGTTAATATGTGATAGGAGTTCAATCTTACAGTAATGTTTTCCCCCATTCTTTATGCTATTTCTACTGTAGAGAAGGTTTACACACACGTTTTTCCCATTAGCTAATGGCAAGCTCCCTATTAACAGCTGCTTGCCTGCAGTGGCTCAGACACTGATGGGTAACAATCTGATTATTTGGTCCAGTGTGGAACTATGATCTCTCTGAACTGGTCCCCAGTTCAGAGAGGAAACAGCATAACAGAACTTGTTATAAACTTAAGTTCTGAATGAGCAATAATTTTTGACCTAATACAACAAGATGTGAAGCTGCTTCACTTAAACATGTAAACAGTGCAAGAGGAAAGAGTTTATTTCCAGTGTACAAGGAGAAGGTACATAACAGCTTTGAAGCATTAGGTCTTAAACCCATGGCAGAAACATACGAGTGTTGGTAATACTGTTGTAAATGCAGTGCTTGAGAAAAGTCAGATGTACAACAAAAACTAAGTGCAAAATGAGTAACATTGACATATTACTCAAAATTCTATAATCCCTTAACTAAACGATTACCTATGAATTACAACTGAAACTATTTTAATACATAGTGTTGCAAATAAAATACCAAGGTTCTTTAACAGTCCAGGTCTTTCAGTTGAGATGATACAAACAAACATTACCAGTTCATTACATACAGAGATTTGCCACGACCTTATGTAGAATTTATCCAGAAGAAGAGTCTTGATTGGAAAATAATTATGCCCTATGAAATGTTACTTCATAAAGTCAGAAAGAATAGTCACAGTGACTATTATTTTCTTTCTGTTATGTACTTTTATTATTACACACAGACTTTGTGTAAAGGAAAAACACAGAAGGACAGAAAAGTTTGAACACATTTCACTTACTTCCTCTGTAACAGCAATGCGATTTCTGTCTGAACTTTCATATATTCTTGTGCCATTTTGCAGTGCTGTTCAAACACAGCCATAGATTCTTTGGAGTTTGGGCATGGTGCTAGAGGCTGAAAATAAATCAGACATGTTAAAGACTAATGAACTGATATCTTAGTAAATAGTGTGTTAGAATGTCTCTGCAGTGTATTTATAACGTCTTTTAAAAACCAGTAAGCTTTTAAAAATAAGCGTTAAACCATGCCTTGGAAAATATTACTGAGCCAATGTCAAAGTTCACTCAAATGTGAAGTTCTTAATCTGACACTCATCACAAAAATCAAAGCAGTGTTTAATCCCACACACAAAAAATAAAGTGTATACAACAGTTTGATTCAGTAACACTCAAGAAAATAATGTCTTATTTTTGACAGTCAAACTCAGTTTACATTTGGTTTTAGGATCATGTTTCCCAGGGCTTGTTTTTAATAGCTTGATCAAACCTGAGTCAACCAATCTCAGATTACATAATATATTTTTTTTAGCCTTGGTCAAAAATTAGCCAGAACATAAGCCCAGGTTAATATGCGGCCGTACATTTTGCAGTCCCAAAGTCACACGTTAAGATGAAATGCTTGAGAATCTAATGAAGTATAGTRTAGTTATTACCTGTAACTGATGATCCAATGTAAGATATGCCATTGGGATGGAGTTATCTGACCCATTGGTCTCTGTAACAATACCAAGAAAACTTTAATGTATTTTCAAGAGTTAATTCCATACTTACAGAACAAAACCAAGAATTCTAAGTATTTTCACAATACACAATCTGAATGTGGATAGGCAGATGGAAATAGCAGCATTCCAATCCCAAGGCAGATGAATCATTTTGTTTTTCTGATAGTTAAGAACATCAAAAGTATGGTCTATCACATCAAGAAGAAATAAAAATTATGGTTATCAACCTACATTTCTACAAGCCATGTAACAGCACACAGATTTTAAAAATGCTATTTTTGTAGTTTGCGATCATTTCTGTTTATAAAAAAATTGCCATTTCATTCTTGTTTATGAAGGATCAGCCAGCCAGCCCATGCATCTAATGACTTTAAAATTAGAAGCTGTGCAAATCAGCTCTGCCAAAATAAAATAAGCACAACCTCCTGCTCAGTTTTGAAACCTGCTCCCAGTGAGGTTTCTAAGTATCTTCCTCACAATGTGCTCTAGGGCATCTTCTCTGCTCTGTATAGATACTTTGTGGGTAGTAAGGAACCCAGTAACCAATCTGTCTCCTGGGCATGGCTTCTCTTCTTACACTCCAGTTACTCTGGATATCTCTAGAGTTCTCATTTGTTATACTTCATTTCTTACACTCTGGACTTCTCTAGAGCTTTCTTTCCAGATTTAATATGTTCCTGAATTATCTTTTGGTAGTCCACAGTCTGGGGATCACAAGGTTACTGTTAAGCTTTAAGAGACACAGGAGTAAAGACACATGGAGAAACTACTGATTTTACAGCTGCATAACTGCTACTAGAGGATTATATGGAGGAGGGTAGGTGGGAAAAAAAAGGGGCTGCTTACCCATACCCCAAAAGCACCTGCCACAGAGTAGTCGTGGTAGAGAAACTAAGGTGTTGCCCTCAAAGACTATGCTATTTCCAAGAGCAGCTTCAAAAGGAAACAGAAATAAGAGGGTGGGAATGGAGAAAAAGTGGTTAAGTGTATGCTTGGAAGGAAACTGGAAGGTGGTAAAAACAAAAAAGAAAAAGAAAACAACCCTAAAACCAGAGACTTAATCACCATGGTATCTTAAATGCAATCAACATGAGAAGCCCTTCCCTACATTATTCTACTGCCATATATGGATACTGTGATAATGAAGGAATCATTGAAATGCTTCAAAAATATATCAATACATGTAAATACTTCAAATTTCAGAGTGTTTCAGCACCGTGTCACAGAACTGCAAATTTCCTTTGACCAGATTTGGCTGCATCCTTGTTTTATCATTTTGCTTCATTAAATKACCAATGTAGCACCTTTTACAGGAAACCAAAATTATTTCTCTGTTCAGAAAGTTGAACAATTCTTAGTGCATGGACTACATAAACCTAGCAAGAAAAAATATACATATGGCACATTCTGTATTTACGTGAGTATAAGGTGAGCGATTTCTGTGGGCCAGAAAATAGGCCTGACTTTTAGCTCCGTGCTGAGCTGCATTTAAGACCAAAAACTTGGCACAAACTTTTGCTGCACTGGCATACAATTTGCAACTTTCAGTTCCCAATGAACTGCTCACTGAGTAAGAGCTTGCTTCCAGTGTGAGGCAGCAATTCCCATCAGTGCTCACTGCCTAAAGCAACTGGGGATCCATGGTGCATAACAGGCACAGGGTGGGCTGTAGCAGTGGGCAAGGGTTTGGGGAAGTTATGAGTGACAGGGCACTGACTGTGGTTGGGCAAAGCAACAACAGACAGGAAGAAGAAAATAGAGAAGCAAAACATAAGAGTATGTTGTCTTCCCACTAACACTGAAAAAAATAAAATACATCTTACATGATCACCTTATAATTGGTAAAATACAAGTGTGCAAATATACATACATATAAATGTATATATACATATGCTTATGCAAGAGTCAGTCACCACATGAGTTTCTATTCTGCAGCTGGTTACAGGAAAAGAGCCTGATCATCCAGATGGAAAGGATCACAAGAAAAAGACTACAGAATCTGAGGCACTGTGAAGTACCATCTTGAGACTAAGGTTTAAGATTCAACATTTACATTTTGGTAACAAAAATGTAATTTTTATTTATATTCTAAAAAGGAATTGTGGGGATCCACTGTTTTCTTGCAGTCAAGTATTGGATCTTTTCATAACAGAATGCATTATGACTTTTAAAATCAAATTGAACTATTCAATTATCTTCATTCTTAACCCTATTTCATAACAAAAGAACAGTGATGCTACACTAGATGTATTTACAATGTCTGCAGAACATGCTAGTTCATTTAAAACCAGTAATTTTGTGTGCACATGTACATTCTGCATAAACAAAATTACAACAGAGATGACAAATAGAAGTAACCTACTCCAGCAGATACTCACCTACATAGCATCTAATTCAAGATGTCAGGGCAATGAAATCTTTAAATGTACATTCAAAATACAAATRGGCAAGACTAAATTGTTCCAAGATGTCTTTTCCCCTAATTCTCCAAAACCACACTATACTAAAATACTTGTGCTAACAAGATCCTCATTAAATATTACTATCACTGCATATGTACAGCACTTTCTTACTAGCAAAATGCTTACAAGTTTATGTAACCTAACCATCTATAAAAAAGCATTCTTAAAGCACACGTGAAAAACAAGGCACTAATGTAATGATTGGATTTAAGCAGAACTTAAAAGAACCATGATTTTCATTGCTTACTTTTTTCAATGTCTGAGCACACACCCCACATGACAATCAAATAAATATTTAAGTTTTCTTACAGGTAAAAAGTTAAGTAATGAACAAAGAATTACCTGCATCATCAGGTGTCCACGGATTACGTGTTGGCTTTTCAGAGGTTGGTCCCGAGGTAGTGATCATTCTCACACTAGGACTGGATGATCTACTGCTGTTTCTACTCTCCTGAAATGACAAAATAAAATAAAATTACAAGTTTAACAGAAGACGTTTTATAAAGTTCATTAAAAAGAAAAAAAAAATTGAAGAAATCTGAACCTATAATCATCCAAAATACTCTCCCTCCCCAAACTTTTACCCTGAATCTCTCCTGATAGTTTGATCAACTTTACATGCTTTGCAGGGATAATTTCATCCCCATTTCTACACCTCTACAGTGTAAAAGAAATTAATACAAATTTTCTACTCAGCATAATAAAAAGCAATGCTGAACAATGTACTAAAGATCTTTACAGAAAATCATGACAACATGTTCAGTAATTTTCACACTATCATTCAGCAAAATCTAGGAGCTCTATAACATAAGGAAGAAATACAGTTTATTTTCAATGTTTAAGTAGTGAATGGAACTACATTCAATTAAAGGAATACAGCTGAGTAGCTGCACTAGACTATCATGTATTTATCTACAGTTTTCTTCTTTTGGTAATTCAGAGGTTATGTGAATAATCAGAAAGCATGAAAAAAGTGCTTATCAAAAAGGATCAATCAATTGAAGCACATCTGTCAGAAAATGAGTACTTTCTCCCACATGAAGCAAATTAAGAACTAAACCAAAATTCTGTAGGATGTTTTTTTTATATACTGTTTGACTCCTCTAATCCTTTTGTTTACTAAAACAGAAAATCATAATACAGAATAGATTATTCTATTAGCTTTTTCAGAAATGTTACAGTATATATGCTTCTATTTCAGTGACATAAAATTAACACAATAAAGGATTCAAGACTATAAGCTCCAGTAAGATTTTCAGMAAATAAGTAAATAAAAAGATACTACTAAAATACAACTATTTTCAAGATGGTGTATTTATCATGAAATGATTCACTAAATGACTCAATTTTTCAAAAGAAGCACTCAAGTATACATTAACAAAAAACTGTATGATTCTAATTTCTAAATATCCTACTATAAGTTTTAAAATTTAGGATTTCAATCAAATAACAATCCAAAGAATAACAAAATTCTACATACTGAAAGATCCATTAGTTCAAATGCAAATTCTTTCTTCTGTAATGTTTATTAAGCATTTTGTGTTTTATGTTAATACCCAGAAAGAGGACAATAAACTACTGTGGAAATAATCGGATAGATATTAACAAGATAATGGCATCAAACATTCTGAAAAATCTTTTGTATTGGAGTTTTTCTTGACATTAAGCAAGGTTTAAGTTGCTGAGCTTACTGTTAGTGTYCTCAGATATGAATGATAAACACACCCTGCTGATGTAAAAGATCAGAAGACAGAGAAAGCACTTTTAAAAGCATGCAAGTCCTTTAGGTAAAAAGAGATTTGCTGAGTATCTATGGTGGATAGTGAAGGGCTCCTGAGAAATACTTTAGTTGCAGTAACTTCTCAGTGCTTTACACCAGATTGTTTTGGTCCATCAASCAAAAAAATTTCCTTGATAACACTATTTACACGAAATTCAGCAGATATAGAAATAAAGGAATCACATCTGAAGCATATCTAAAAAGCACCACAAAGTTGATGGGGAATTGCCCAAACCAAATACTGGTTAGATTACAGCGTTTGAGTGTGAGAGATGCTTTAGGCCTCGTGGACAGCAGCCCCTGTGACACGTAAACCAGTGTCTGTACTTCAGCAATCGATTTCTGCTACCCTTTCATCCTTGCATCCTCCAAACTTGCTAGCAGGTTACTCTCAAATCATCTTTGCCTGGTGGTCAAACCCACATGATGTTCTTAGCTTCCATTTCGCAAAGACTTGAGTATTGAAAAGCTGGTGCGCTCTGAGGAATAATCCCCCCTGAAGTTTAATTTAAATGTTTCTTTTAACACAATTTAAAGAAATCATCATTACAAGTCCTGTTTCCTCATCTCTGTGAATTTCATCTTGCTGTGAAAGGGAAGAAAAAAACCCAAATCTGCATCTGTGACAAATTTCACAATCTCATGGACAGAATGATTCATGTGTATAATATCAGATCCCCAAATTATCCCACTTAGCTTGCATGCATGTGGGCATGTACACYCTGACCTTGCTTCTCAACTGTTCATGTCAGTACATGGTTTGCTTTAATATACTAATTTTTTTTTCACTTCAAAGTAAACTACAAGAGTTATGAAGGCCCAGCAACAGTTGCAACACACCCTCTCCTCCAAAAGCTGATAATCCCAAAACAAAACAAAAAAAATGTTTAAAAGAGGTAGAAGGTAGTTTTGGTATTTATGATAGTTCTRTGAAAGATGAGGTACCAAAACAACTAAACCAATAAAACATACATGGGCCAGGAGATGGATACCACACKGGGCATCTGATCACAAATCGCAGAGTTGAGTCATTATGATACATATATTTCTCAGTATGCGTATAAAACATTAAATTTTGTAAAAAGTGCATGCAGCATAAAGAGCAATATGCTGTGTTTCTTCAAGCACCCAAAAGTATTAGTAGTTGCAGTTTGGAGTCTGCACATCTGTGTTACAAAGGTGTTTAGGCAAGAACAATAGCACTAGGTAGATGACACACTAAAATGCTTTGAAATGCATGTACAGGGAAATAGACAGAAGAAACAATTCAGTGGGAAAATAACAGGAAAAATTAATAGAGTATCACAGTATATTGAGAGAAACAAATGTAGCATTGAAAATGAAATGTAGCATTCGATTTTAGAAGGGATGGTTGCATMAGTGCTGCTCATGTCACTTGGAGTAAGGACCAGTCTAAGGTCACCATGCACTAAAATCTGYGAAAATTTAGACTTAAACACAGGTTCTCAACACCAAATCATTCCAACAGCTGATCCAAAGATGGAAAACCTTTGACCTAGCAAATTTTCCTATCTAAACTGTCCACACTCAGTGGCAAAACCATCTGTAAAGCACTATTACTGTCTGCTGTTGAGAACAGTAAGAGCAATACTGTAAAGTGCCTTAAGTGTCTCAACAACATAAACATAGCAATTGTCAGCCATACAGCCACACAAAAAAATTGTTCTAAGAGCACACAGAAATAAAACAGACATACAATCATAAAACACACTAAGTGCTCAAATTAAAACAGACAAACAGTTAAACAGGACAACAAGAGTCTTGGTCTACCCTTTCAGGTCAGCACCCAAACTTTGGCATATTTATTATTAAGTATGGTATATTTAGATATATATATAGCATATATTTTATTGTATATTATTTAACATCACACATATATATATATAAAAATTGATATCCATATACATCCCTGGTGTTTTCCTTCACGTTAAAAAAAAATCCATTCTGAATTGGAAAAAATTTTCTAATTAAAAATCAGTAGTTTTAACAGAATAATTTTCTATTGACAGGGCAGCAATCTCCAGGYAAAATATGTTCAATAAAAAGATTTCTGATCAGCTTTACTGAGTCAATCAAATAGTTAAAAGCCAGAAAAGAGSTACCATGGCAATCCTTTCATTTTGAGTGGGATAGGGGCTTTCACGGCCTGGGTGAAGGGGCAGTGGCACGCAGTGCCATGGCTGTTTGGTGAAGAAGGCTGTGCTGCAGGTAAGTGTAAGGGAGAATGGAGTGCAGGGAAGAAGGATGYTTGCAATGAAGGGTGGGAAGGGGATTTTCACATTAGAAGGGATACCCTATATATGGTATAGTGCATAAATCAGAACTACACAAGACACAGGTTTTTTTGCTTTGGCTTGTTGATTGCCTATACGGATAGCAGCCCAAAATTTTTAACAAAAAATCAAGGCACCGAGGTCCAGAGCTATAGAAACCCATAAATATTAATCTTAAGTCTTTATCCATAGTTTCATTTGTGCTCTGTTTCTTCATGGTTTTCCAAATTTTTTTTTAATATACAAGCACACGTACATCAAGTTAGCATTAGTTTCAGTGGACTTTTCTATCTGTTCTCACATCCAAAAGCGGATAAAAATTATTTGTTTATATGGACAGTTCAAAAAGATCTTTGAAATTGTATTTCTCATGCTGGTTAAAATATTATGTTTTCCAGATTTTACCACAATGTTTCCAAAGAAACTGCATGATAGCAACAGATAACCATAATATTTCCACTTATATTTCCATTATGTATACTATCAGAAGCAAGAAAGTAAAATGGGACCCTAGAACTTCCATAGACCCACATGAGAAATTGGTGAGGTAAACATAGAACAAAATTTCTGTATCCTTCTGTTCACAAGGACAGTTTAGCAAAAACATCTACACAAGCAGGAGAACAGCTTTCAAACAAAGATTATTGTAATAGTTATTAAGACATGAAGCAAATGATGAAAATCAGTATTTTGAAGTATCAACCATTCATTAAAATGAACAGATTGAAAACTTWGAAATAAAAAAGCTATAATTAAATAATTCATACATCAATCAGCACAATTTGGTATAACTCATGTATTGTCACTTAATTTTTTCCCCCAAGWCTTGCATAATTTTAATTCTACAATTATCTGAATAGGCTAAATGCTTTCCTAAATTTTGCAGATTAGTTTTTCTTTTGTAACAAACCTGTCTTCTCTGACAATATTAAAATGTATTTTAGACTTATATCTTATTTTCTGATACATGTACATAGTAAATTTACCAAATCATACAGGATTTATGAGGTTTCTGTGGCTATCATTCTCCACRGAATTAAAGAAAAATCAAAGGTTATCTCCTGATATCTACACCTCAAGAATTACCACCTATTTTAGATCACAGAAGTAGGTTGTTTAACATGGAAACCTGATTAACCTGATGAATATGCTAAGTGCCAGTATGCCACATTCAAATAATAGTAGGTATCTCAAAATTGCCAATTCACAAGAAGGACTCTGTGAATTATTAAAGGAACTAAAACCACAAAATAAACACATCTGAATGAAGCATTAGCTGTACTTTTCTCATTTAAAATTGAAATGAAACTAGAAACATGTTATGTAGAATSCCACTGTTTCTGTTACCATGGCAGTTACAATACCAGACAAATAGGTATGTTATAAAATATCTTTTTGAAATAGTATTTTTTTAAACAAAACTTGGTGACAACACCCTGCTGTATCACAAGAAATAGAGATATATTACTGTAAGTTACTATTCAGGAGTCAGAGATTGATAATAAATAAGATTTATGATACTGATGCACATGCTTTTTATTCTCCTGCAGAAAGTGAGTCTRTGTGTAACTGCTTCAGAAAATAAGTCGTAATTACACTTGTTTTCTACATACAGAGAGACAAAAAGGCTTTCCTGTGTAATATCTGCCCTCAGCCAAATTAAGCGGTACATAAAAAACATGTGTACATAAAAATGCTAAATATTGCATAAGCTGTATTGAAAATGCTTCTCATCTAGAGCCCATTCATAGTTACCCTCACGGAATCTCATTTCAATGCAATACAAACAACACTACAGTCTGCCAAGCTTCCACATAATTTCTATGAAAGCATCAAAGGTGAAGATTTCCAGATCAGTTCCCCAGTACAGATTTGATGCTGACTTTACTGAAAAGCAAAGAAGAGATGAGAAGGACATTACCTGACTGGACTCTGTTCCAGCAACACTAAGATCTTGAATGGATCTGCGCCTCTGCTGTCCGTTTCCTGCTGGGAAAAAAACAAAACAAAAACAAACCAGTGAAATATATTCAGAACAAAATAAGAAGGGTGCGACTGTTGCAGAGGAGCTTGGAATTTGTACAAATCCACAGAGACAAAGTGAGAGAGGGGGAGAGAGAGACAGCTGCAGAATTTTAACTCAAAACATGCTGGCCTGTCAACAAAAAGTATACCCTAATACAATAACCACTCCTACCACATGAATAGCTGCTGCAYTCTACTCCACCATCTTCTGTCACATGTATTTGGTCAGGCTTAGTACTTGGGGCAGGAGCTGATGACGACATCTATTTCAAGTGCGTTACGTTATGGGGATTTCTAAAAGCTAAACCGCGAAGATAACAGGCTGCCAGCTTTAACCTGTTGCTCTTTGGCTTGCTCAAGGAACACAGCAAGGAYTTTAGCCTGTATGCTGCTCCCCTCAGGAAAACCAAGAAGTGAAAGCACTTCCTTCTGGTCTCCTGTCTCCTTCAGAGGAAGGAAACTATGTCCTATTCTCATGCTCTGAGAAGTGTGAAAAGGGGACTGTTCAGCTAAATCACATCTCACCATCAACCTACGAAGCACAACRCTGTAATCTTTTCCTCTTCTCCTTCCACCTGTTCGCAATTATCCAYCAGTGACAGCTACATAAAACAGTTTAAATTTTAGCACTGACACGCAATCAAAGGCATTTTCAGGAAACAAAATCTTTTTAAAAATAAAAGGAGATTATGCAACAGAATCTCCCTGGCTACTTTGATTTTTATTACAGTGATTGTTTATATTACCTCTTGAGAGCAAGTCAGCTGTCCAAAAGGAAACACCAAAATGTCCTGAGTAACAGCTGACAATGCTCAAAATTCTTGCTGTTAGCTCTGCATTACGTAACTCTGCTACTGGAGGGGAGCATCTGAAACATGTACTGCAGCCGTGGCAGCCCCTCGCCCAGCAGTCCTGCACTCTGCAACCAACACAGCTCATTCAAAGCCCKGCAAGAGGCATCACATTGCTGACCTTTCAGATACTTCTCATTCAGCATCATTCCCGCGACTCCAAGCCTATCCTGACACGTGTTTTGAATTGCAACAGTTACTACAAAAGTACAAGATTATTTAATATTGCTTGGTATATTTAATAAGCCTTAAGGTCTTTAAATATATGTATTATTACATGTAGGAACACACTACCACAAAACAGCAATACAAAGCTTTTTGTGTCACTTTATCAATTTGTCATGACATTGAAAAATTTATAGAAAGTACTTTAAGAAACAAGCATATAAGAAAATAAAGCAGCATTCTAGAACAAGAGTATACTTTTTGCTCTGACTACAAATGCAYTGAATTGCAACTGCTCTGTGGTCTTGATCTTCTGAAACTCAGGGAAAGCACATACTTACCTAACCAACAATGGCTAAGTTACATTTAATACTTTGATACTAGGGATCTTGTGAATGACAAATCTATGTGAAAATGTCTGAACTTGTTCATTTGCAGTGAACATTTTCACTACRTAATCATTGAACAAACAAGATTATACCTTTAATAGAGTTCTGTGCTGCGGATACTTCATCTGGCTGCCACAGCTCATCTCAATATTCAAGATATGTGCGATCCACCCACGACCAATACAAAATTATGTGCACATTTCATTCAACAACATTGTTATAAAATTAGCTCAGCTGAAATAGGCTTGCAAAAATATCTGAAATTCTCATTTCAGATTAGCAACATTTGTGAATTTAAAGAACCCAGCACATGTGTTGCTGAAATATTAGAACATGGCTGCCAAAATGTTAAAATAATCAGGGTGGGGTGCAAGAAAGAAAAGAAAATGCCTTGTGGGAAGTGAAGGGGGGGGGGGTGTGGAGAAGAAGGGCCAAAACTACTGTGTTGTRAAAAAATGAACATCTTTAAATGAAATATCTTCAAGTTAGTAGCATGAGGGAAGAGCAAGCTCTACTAGGCAATGCCATTTTAATTAGTGTAACTACTGCAGACATCGGCAAATAGCTTCAACAAGGCAGAAACAGACTACGAATCAACAAATACTTATTGCTCCAGATTCAAGACAAATGTCAATTGAAAAATACACTATACAATAAAACAGAAAATGTTATTTGAAAATACCACTGCTACTTCTTTATGCTTTCCTCTCCCAGCTTTGATCTTGTTCTTACCTCTGTCCATTTAAAAATAATTTTTCCTCATTATAAAAACTAAGAGATTTGTACACACACAGAAGTTAATCCACAGTAGCCTGATGCACTGTCTCAGGCTTTTGGTACTTTACAGGATTTTAAGATTGAAAAGCAAATGTCACAAACATACTTCCTGGCCTCAAAAAACCCATTTCACATACTGTTGTGTATTTTCTAAAATTAAATTCTAAAGGAACAGGAAACTTCCATCATGTCCTACCCCACATACTCCAGGCAAAAATAAATTCTACAACTTATTAAAGCTTTTGATCACCACCCCCACCCGGCCGCCAAATATCCAGACTAGCTATGACCTCTTCTCCCTGCCCTTTAGTAGATACTTGCATCTCCTTTTACACTTCCTTATTTACACACAGTCCTCTTCTYTTCCTTACACACCTACAAGACTCAAGCCTCTCTCACCATGCAGGATGATCAGTGACTGTAACAGTGCTACAAGACATTTTGAACAAGTTAAAATACTGATCTGAATTCCAGAAGAACGAAGYGTTCTGGGAAGACAAGGGTAGGATTTCTGGCATACATTGGTTTTRAAAGCAGATAGCATCCATAATTCCTATCTACCTTCTAAAGACCCTCTACAAAATGCRTGTATCTTGAGTAATCATTTATGCAGTGTCAATGCTATAAAAATCGTAACGCTGTGGCACAGTTTCAGATGACAAAATTACAAAGCCAAATGCACACATGCTAAATGCATGAAATGTCTAACATTGCCACTGAAGAGAAGGCTGCACTGGTAAGTACATTTGCTAGATGATGCCTGAATTGTTTCCATTAAAAAGGTATACAAACTAGAATTCAGAATTTTTTTTGTTTGTTTCTTTACACATAAAGATATTTAAACCTTTTACTTACTAGGGTTTTAATTATATATATATATTTTAAAAAGTTGGTGCTTGTAACTTGTACTATACATACTGTAAATTAAAAAAAAAACAAACCGATACGTCACTAGGCAATCTGGCTGCAGGATACCACCACTGCAAACTCATATGCTAAGTTGTTACACAAAGGAGGAATTATTCAATCCATTTTTCAGTTTCTAAGTTTTGCAAGCTAGTAACACAAAATAGCATCTTAAATGAACAAATATTTCTATTCATCCTTACTGTACTTATTTAGAAAGAAGAACAAATATATTCTAAAATTTTCCCCTTCTGCCAATATTTTACCTTTAACTGATAAAAACATGTATTTTACGACCTTGGTAGCATAATCAGTTCATGGACGAAATGCAGTTGAGGCAACACATTACGAAAACCCCCAATGATAGCAGATGTAGAACTCATACTTCCAAAATAGCCCTGCCCAAAGCAGCTGACTCACGGTAACATGCCTGCCTGGTGCCTCCCCTCTCCGGGCAGCAGCTGCTCTACCATGTGCTCAGCACAACTCCAGGCAGCAGCACACACCGGCACTTGTGTGGCTCCAAGGACAGGGACGAGCTGCTTGCCCCATCGAGGGACATGCCCAGGGAAGTTCGGAAGAGTGGGGTCTGTGGCAGAAGCAGTATGGAATGTAACTGGGTGGGACTGAGATGGTGGTRACAGTTTGGGGGTCTTGGAAGTTGAGGGGTCTAAAAAGCGAAAAGCATATTCAGAGGCCAGAACTGAGAGCCTTTAGCTGACAGAGTAAGGGAAGAAAGAAGGGAGAAACGTACAGATGAATACAATTAGTTTACTGGGCAGATAATCACATTCTATCTGGCTTTGGGATTATKAGTGGAAAGCTGTTCTGACAACCAGAAAACTTTCAATATAAAGTTCAGATTTTCTGCAGACAATTTATGTATTTTTTCTATAGTGCCAAYATTACAGAAAATAATTATTCATTCTCAGCTTTCACTTTGTGGGCTAAAAAAGGCCATGCTTTCAGATTTGTTTTTATACTCTCTATACCCCTCTTATMCTAATAACTCTTCTTCATATTATTTCAATGCATGTATGTTTGTGTTATTTGGCTGACCAGAACAGTATGTTGAATTCCTGATTCAAACCCAACAAGGGCCAGTAATAGTGTCAGTGCTTCTTTCCTGAAAATGAACTTCAAAATGTCACAGTTTTTCACAACTGCATTAGATTAATGGCTCATACTACCTGGGATTAATCTGCATGCACGTGCTATGGTCCCATGTCATCTCATTTAAAGAAACTACTGTTAATGCATGACCCTGGATTTTACCCTATTTTCTATTCAGTCACAGCAAAATTCTCCCTATGTGATACTCTAATCCTCCTCTTTGTCAATACTTGCTTCTGATAAAGCAATAATAGGGAATTTTACTATCCCTTATTTGACTTAAAAACCCTAGGAGCAAATTTTGAGAAAATTCATTAATATGCTTGCTCCAACCCTATGTATTTTTTCATTTCTACAGGTTGCTATTTTCTTCATATGTATTCCAAATTATCTTGGAATTCCCATTCTGTCAAGTTCAGTTAAAATAGACCAGGTGAAGAATTTTTAATGACTGCCTCTGCCTAACTAAGAAACCAAAAGACTGGTACAATCTACTTTGTGAAAACAACAWGTTTTTTTATTTCATTGACTTCTTCATTATTGCATAAAAGTTTAAGTGTTTCTTGGAAGCCTGAGTGTTTTTATGGGCAGTGTACCCAGACAAGAGGCACTCATTAGCTTCTAGACCTTATTTACCAGGTTCTCATCATGCGTTAACACTGAAACTGGATAGATGTCTTCATTTTTGCCTTCCTCGCTTTCTCAGGATTTCAGTGTAGGCCAGACCCACTTGGAAGTTACAGTGGAAAGCTACCCTAGTAGCTTTTCGCTAATTTGTTAGTGTCAATGACAAAGAGGTTTTCTTTTCATAGGCACAACAGCTCTTTGGAATACACTTTTTTCATAGTCTGTATTTTTAATGTAACCTTCAACAGAGTTATTTGAAAGAGACTTTTGTACAAAACTATCTTTTGCATTTAACTTTATAATACCAAACAGGATCAAGATTTACAAGGAAACTTTTTCAGATGACAYAAATTTAGAGTATGTGGGCCACAGTTTTTAATGGATTTCTAGATTCTATCACTTGTGTTTCCTACCCCTGACATAYCATTCTGAAGTGACTTGCATACTGCTAATGGTACACCTATCACAGTTTAAGATTGATTATACTTATTTTTAGGCTTTAAGAAAYATGAAATGAAAGAAAGAAAAATGACATGCTACTAACTAAAATTAGAMCTGGGATACATGAGAATTATTCATTAAAGTCCCAAATGATATTACCATYTGTGGTACCTGGTTATATTGATTTTTTTTCCTATCAGAAGCCTCTCCTAATAATTTTAGTTGGCATTAACTTAAACACAACAGCAATAYCTCATGCACACACATTTTAGCTCTAGAAAAGTGCAGTCAAATATAAGAATTACACAGACTAAGTGTTAATGTTTTAATCACAAATATCAAATGGATTTGAAATTCTGCACTTRATTTATCTTAGTTTTTGTGCTACTATTAATTGATTAAAAATGGGAGCCTAAACACAACAAAGATCAGAGCAAAACCATTACCTAGACAGGAATTTTTTGATCTAGGTCCATTTTCATCAAATGAGATACTGTAACACAAGACTRCATATACAGTTTTGCTCTACAAGAAGACTCAGAACATCAAGATCATAAGAGAAGAAACTCTTTATCAGTAGAAGTAAATTTGAACTGGAAGACTGAATCCTTCACTGACAAAAGTAAGGTTGTAATAAAACACCATGCTCCTCTTTACAGAAGCATTATGAAAAATTTAGTGGGATAATTTTGGGACCTGTCCTACAGCAACTGGAGCAAGAAGTATTTYAGCAGTCTGATCATTATTCCGGCATCTTAACCAATTGCCCCGTTCACCTGGTCTGCGATACCTGGTATGATGATCTCAGGGACATCCAGAATGTTGCCAAATGAAGCAGTTTTACGATGGCCTCGTTTAGGCTTGGAATAGGCTGAAAAAATACACATATACAATACACATGCAAAACACTAAAATGGCAAGAGCAAAAATATTAAATTCCTAATACTGCATTGTTCATATACTTGGTTAAACTCGAGTTCATGCAAAAACGTGTCATGCAGAATAAACTGCATTGCCTTCCACTCATGCTTACACATAGTAAAGCAACTGTTAAAAAGCAAAAAATGCAAAACTAGCCATCATTACAACACAGTGTAATTAGTTACAGTTAGCAACACAAAAGTCAAACACAGAAAGCAGCATGGCAACACAGAAGGGAAAACCAAATGTAATTATCCAAACAGAGAACAAATTAAATTCTTTCAGTTCACCTGTACATTCAGAAAAAAAATCCTTGATTGCCTGAACTTAACTAACATTTTCTCTTCAGTGTTGGGTACAAACTTTTTTTTATAAAAAAGTCTAACAGTTAGATACTTCTATTTCTTTAAATCACCTCCTTTTAAAGCAAATCTCATCTACCTCTGAAAAAATACTTACTTTTATTACATTTGACAATAATTCCTGCCATTACTCTTTTGTCTTACTAGTGAAGAYTTTTTGTTTTGAAAACTGGGTATCACTACCAACATTTTCATTTTTGAATAATGTTCAAGAAACATTATACACTTTGAAATAAAATCTAATCATATTTTAAAAATTTTTACTACTTCTGTAGTTGCTCATAAATAGTTCCTATTTAGAGAAAAATCTGAATACATCTTCCAAAGGTAGAACATTGTAGCATACTCATCTCAGTAACTAATGGTGATGTGTATTACATGATTCACTCTTAAATTAATCTAGAGGAGAATGGAACAACATTAAATAATTTTCAACCTGATTTAACAACAACCTAAATCTCACCCGGCCACGCAATATTTTTTCAGGTTCACAGCATATTATTTCTATCACAGTTAACAAGATTAGAAAAAAGAAACCAAAACYAATACAGTGCTGTTTCACCTCTTTTTGAAAAAGTTATGGTCAGATGCATTTGACCTCATTTCTCACMGTCCATTACTGCATGAAGTGATTTGTTAAAAAAATACCCAAGGAATCCCAAACCAAAAATAGTACGTTCAATATGTACTTTTATTTCAAGAAAAAGAAGCCCTACAGTCATGACAAAAAAACCAAAAGAAATCCTTAGACTATTCTTAATAGCAACTATTATTTCAGAGCAAAGACAAACTAGGAAAATTAAAAACTCATACAAAGGAGGGCCAGGTTATCTCTGCTAATGTCAAAAGGTTATTTTAAGAATGTCAGCGACCATAGTGAGTCCTGATATGTTTTAAAATAAAACCAGCATGGTGATATTACCAGGTAAGTACACAGCTGCCTTCTGTGTTAAGAAACCTTTAGAGATATTCAGGGTGAAATGTGCTACACAATCATCCAGTCAAGGACTTACAATACAAAAGACAGATTTTGGAATAAGGGTTTAAAATAAAAACATGAAAATAAAAAGAATTTAGGGCATGATAARTATTATTTCAGTACCTCAATATTTAGTAAAACAAGATCCTGGAGTAATCATAATACAACGAAGAACAAAAATGAAATAGTCATGGTGCACAAGAAAGCCAGAATTTTGATGTGTAAATCCTTATTAATTGCAACTAATCGACTACCCTAATTTTCAGATTGGYTGAAAAATACTCAAACAGTTAAATAACCCTGAACTGATCAAGATAATTTTGTTTCATTATTTAAATATACGGTTATATGCCATAACACAAAAAAAATCCACACATGAAACTTAAAACCTGAAGTTTACATAKATTAACAAACAATATCTTTGATGAAGAAAAGAGACAAGAAAGTGTTTGCCAAGTGTACACATTTTTATTAATTCACTCTTCTGGGATGCATCAAKACTTATGTACTTATACTTACAGATAAATTCTAATTCTCTCAAAGATTTAAGGTTCAGAAATGATAGTTTACATCTRGAGGAAACCTGGCAAAACACCTGTAGCTTTTTTTTTCAACAAAAGACAATGCTTTCTCAACCTGGTGAATAAAAGCCAACTASATTTCTCTTTTTGAAATCTGTCAAAGTGGATTTTAAAACTTATTTGGGAGCATGCTGTACTTTAAACCTACCTCTTAATTTCAAAAATATTACAGAGACAACCCTGAAGAAAATGTTATTATATAAATAATTACGCTAGCAGAGATGGAATGACACTATCTCAGATAAAAAGGAGAAAGTCGTGCATTTGAAACAGGACTGATATTTATAAGTCTCATAATGTATTTTTTATAAAGGTAAAACTCTAATTCAACAAAATCTCTAAAATCTTTATGAAACTCAATTAAAATACTCAAGTCTTGCTGAGTGTACAACCATAAACAAAGGCATTTCCCCCCACAATCAATAAAGGATAATAAAAACCACATTAATTGCTGAAGTATTTTCAGATGGCTATTGTTAACTTTCCGTAAGACATTTTTTATACATTTTCCTTTCTCCTTTATTTGTTTCCAACTCCCCAAACATCATTAAATTTTACCTGTGATGGAAGCTATTCTTGCTTCTATTTCAGACATGTCAGCACTCATCCTTTTGGCTTCTCCAGAAACAAGGGCTGATGTAGGACGTGCACGAACATCTGACAGGCTCTCAACACTGCTCCCACGAGATGGGGGCAAACTCAAACGGCCAGGATCACCCTGTTAACAATCACATTTGTAAAAAGAAAATTCTGCTACAATGCACATTTTAAAAGTGACAAGATTTAAAATTTATAACACAATAAATGGTGATAATTTAACTATTATTGGTATCTAAGAATGAAATATCTGCTGCTTTGAAAATAATCTAATTTTACACAGATGAAAAAGTCAATAGAATTAGGCCATTATTTCAGAAGAGATATTCTACTTGAAATAATCCACAGCATTTTTAAAATTCACCTAAATGTTTAATCCTTTCATGTCATACTAACATTTTGGCTATAAATTAAGGCAGCAATTTTCAAACTTATTTTTTTTAATCTAATAAATCCTGGTAAATAAAATGAACTACTTTTTATATTCCATTGGAGATCTTATTGGAGTCTTCCAATTTACCTTTTTGGAATCATTCAACATTTTTCTGTCCCTTTTCACGTTCTTTTCCTATAACTAACTGGATCAATTTTTGCACTATTTTTGAATGAGGACACTGATGTTTCAGAGCAGATACAACACTTATGYCTACTCATGTCCCTTTTGTTACTATGGTTCAAAATTGCACATATTAGCTTACCGGCTGCTTGGCTGTATTTTTGATTTGCTGTGCCAGTTTTGACTCTAAACGTTTAATGGTGTCATTGGTAGAAGCCCCTTGGAAGTCACTTGGTTCCATGTTAGCATCACTTTTGTTGCTTGTGTTTGTAGAAGTGATGTCCATGAATGAACCTAGAAACCAGTAACAAGAAAAAGCACTCTAGAATGGCCACTAAAATACCGAAGTGCATWTCTTCACAGAAGAGCTCTCAGAAGTCTAACTTGCCTTTAAAGCAACACTTCTGAAAACTTTTAATGCAAGACAAGTTGCAAGACTACTACAGATCAATTAATATAARAAGCAAGAGGAGTGAAAAAAGAATACGTAACTAGTCCATCTTTAGCTTTCTTTGAAATGGTTAGCACAGCTAYTATATTAACAATAGAACAGCAACCTCATTCACAATTAATGACAAAGACCATCATTAACTACAGAGGAGCACAAATACCTGAAAARTATCAGCCAATATATATTCAGTTTGACGTGATAAATTATGTCTTAAAATCATGTGCTGAGAAATAAATAACTACTACTAAAGTCAGTGAAATGCTACAGCTGCAAAGATTTTGTTAATATGAAGATCACTAGGTTGCAAAGTAGCCATTGATGCTTTATCCAATATAACAGCAATTTCTTTGGAGACAGAGGGAAGGACTACCTGAAAGTCTGGCCCACATTTTGYTCCATCCACCTTTCTAGTGATTTTTCTTGCAGTTAAATCATGAAACAAATGCAAGTTTAAATTGTGGAGACTGCTACTGAAAGCAGGGGCAGCTTTCAAGAATGGTAAAAAATCTTAAATTGACAACTCCTAAGAGTAAAAAAATGCCAATTGCTAGSAACATACATGGGGGAAAAAAGGAAACATTAAACCTGGGCATTTGGAGACAGCTTTTATTATGAGCTTTTCTTCACTCCAGGTACACTTCAGCAAAACCATTTAACTGAGAACACTATCTTTGATGTGGTATGAGGTATTAACAAAACAAAGAGGGTCTGCTGATGCTTCAGATTTTGGATATCTTTTCCATTTTGAATTCAAAATCAATATAAGAATGTGCTTTATAATCTATCTGCATAACTTCATGTTGCAGCTCTTTTTCTTTAAGTTATACAAATGTACCTGTGCTAGTGGCAGAGTTGCTTTGGCCTTCATCTGAATACTGGCAAGGATATTGCAGAGGTTCATCAGCTCCTGGAAAGTACTGTGAAAAAACAGTAATCATTTCATCAAAAAAGTAAATAACAGTTGTTTTAAAATTACTTAAACAGTACCTCATAATTTATAAGTGTAAATTACATATTACATTTATACTAATTTATTGAGAAGATAAATGAATGCAATTATTTTTAGTAATGCATTAGATACAGTTATGAATATTTTTATTTTCTCAAATCTGTTATGAGTTATTATACCCCTCCCATAAGGAGACAAATTATTTCCCTTCTCCACTGTAATAATTTGATAGTTTTTGTCAAAAAGAGAGAGGAAAAAGAAAATACACAAGCCCACCTTGAGAGGAATGAAAAGCATACCTTTTGCAAATCAATTTCCCACCTTAATAACTTAAGAAATTATTAAAATACTAAAATAAATTTTTATACCCGCATCAAATGTGTCATTATTTTAACAATTTCCTCCATGGATGGCCGTTGTGAGGGATCCTTGGACCAACAACGGGTCATTAAACTCTCAATTGGTTTAGGCAAATTTTTGATCAGTGGTGGCCGAGTACCTGTAATTGAAATTAGAAAATACCCTTAAATTTTTTTAACAGACTATGAAACAACTGATAGTGTCTGATCTATCACAAGTATTTTGCTAAAATAAAGGCAAACACAGAGTAAATTGTAAATCTGAATGTACTGGCTTGTACTTAATTTTCTGTCTTACAAACAAAAACTGACAAAAAAAGTTCCTTTGCATTACACATCAGCAATAGAAAAAAAAATTAAACTTTTCCTTCAGTACAGGTTTTAATATATWCACTGACTGACCAAATACAGCATATGACAAAGGCTAATGAACTATTATTTCTTTCTGAAGAATAAAGTTCTAGGCCAAACTAGGAAGAAAGTAATAACAATCTTTGGCTCCTAATGMTGTCTTCACAAGGAAAAAAATATGAAAAAAACCCCAAAAGACTCAAAGTCTTTTTGAAAACTGATTTTGCTCCTAAGAACATCCTGAAAAATTATGAGGCACTCGAACTATCATTTTTTGTGACATTTTCATGGCCTATACATATGTTTAATAACATTTTACTTCAACTGTTGTATAACTAWTCAGGTGATTTTTGGTTCAAGTTCCTCCTCTTATACAATTTCAACGAGAACAAATAATGGACAACCAGTTGTGTTTGATATATGAGATACAGTGATGGCTCACAAAGAAAGCAGTAAGTATTTAAAGATATATTAAACAGAACAAATACTACATGAAGAATGATACAATAGTTTTAAGTGAGATGAAGTGCACTAAAACCTCCTTCTTAGAGAAGGAAAAAAGGGAAAAAGATAAAAAAGATAAAATTTATAGCATAAGTAGGTACAGATAGGGAATTTTAAAGGATCCTCCCACACCTTACTAAGGCTTTTTGATTTACAACTATTAGATTTATACTTAGTTTTACAGTTAATGCTTTTATGCAAGACACTTATCACTCCTAATCTCAATGACCAGTGTCCTTGAAAAACTGGGGAATCTTTCTTCRTTCAAAAATTCCATTTGCAAACATCTATCTTTGTGCATTATTATAACTATGATATCCATTGTTTCTATCACTGTCTGGCCCATTCTCTTTTTTGAACAGGATATGCCTGTGCTCACCTTAAGCTTCTATCATTTACTACTGAAGCAATGTCACTCAGGCCAGAGTACCAGCCTTCACTGCCTGTTAATTTCTTCTTCCAAAGAAGTTTGTAGTTGCTTTGATGTTTTATCTCACAAATGGCAGAAACTCTTTGCAGACATTCACTGAACTACTTCACTATCATTACTTCATTACTCATAAAACTCTGTTTTGCCATGGTACCTAAAAACACAGCAGTAAAAGAGTTACACCTCCAGCATGAAGATACAACTGTCTACTCTACTACCCTGACCCACATTATACCACTGCTTTAAAGAAAGCAGTCTGTTTGAACACAACCACTGTGTCCTGTTYATAGCCTGAGCTCCTGAAAATCTGTTCTGTATGGTAGCTAGCACAGTAGGGTGGTGCTCCATGAGTGCACAGGCATAAAGGCAAAACCAAAACCCAAACCACCACAGATGAAAAACATTTTTAATGCCTAATGGTCCTGCAGGAGTTTCATAGTTTCTAACATTTCTACTGAAGTTACTTCAAGTTATATATTTCTTATAGATGTCCAATTAAAAAATTATAAAAGAAAGACAACTTAGCTAATAAATTATTATTCACAGGTAAGATTTTTCTCAGATCACTTCTAAAATGGAGTGTTGTAGCAATGMGGATGTTGCTCTTTATCGCTCTTTGTTCATACACCAGTTACATGGAGCAAGCACTGTAGCTGCCAAGTAACTCAAAACCCACACTGACACAAATGTGGCAGTATCTATTTAGTCTTTGTAACAAAAATACATATTTAATAAACCATAAAATGGGAAACACTAGTAATTTAAAGATGTATAATTAGGAGTGTTTAGCAAATTTATAGGTCATATACACAACTTCAAAAGCAACAAAGTATTTTCAACTCACCATTGTGAACTGCCCACATTATTCGGAAAGCTGGACCACCAATCTCATCAAAAGGTTTCCTACGGGTGATTACCTCCCAAAGAATAATACCCCAACTGAAAACGTCACATTTTTCACTGTAATTGCTACCTGAAAGAAAACCATCAATATAATTTGATTCTTTTCTACGTAACATGGTAAAAAGAAATACAGTTTGAGCAGATCATAGAATCAGTAAGGTTGGAAAACAGCTCCAAGATCATTGAATCCAACCTTTCACCAAACACCAKGATGTCAGCTAAACTGTGGCAAAAAGTGCCCTTCTGAGTAATTTCTTCAATGCTTCCAGGGATGGTGACTCCACCACTTCCCTGGGCAKCTTGCTCCAACAAATAAATAGCTTTGCATACTTACTTTTACTTCACATTTATTTTTCTGAGAAAGACCAGTTTTCTAAATCTGGCTGATTCATGCTAACCTAAGTCTGAAATCCCTTGACAGTATGACTGTTAAGAATGCCCCGGGGAATAATTCCCTCTGGGAATCAATCCTCTTCACTGGGAGTCATCTTGAAATCATAAAATGAATCAGTTTTCTTATATAATATAAACACCAACTCATTAGGTTTAAAAAAATCTCTTGCATTCAGGGTTGAATTCATGATATTTGCTTCCTCTAAATATTCTTCAATTCACTTCTTCCAAGCTTAGTCACAATATGCCAGCCAGTAACATGTGTCATATGCATTATTCTTTATTAATTACAAGTCTTCAGAAGAACTACTAAGTTACCATATGAAAAATCAGGAGAGTCCTCAATTCCTTACCATCCTATTTCCTCTTTATTTATTATTCTTATTCTTTCTGTAATGTCATTATTTTATTAATATTCTTTGACCATAACTTAAATATTTCTAAGACTCCTAAGGTGCTGAAGACACGTAAGTGTCCTAGAATAATATATAAAAATATTCAGAGGCTGCAAAGAAAGAATGTGTGCTTTGAAACCATAACTCATCCAAATGCTAATAAGAAATGTGAATGGCTAATGACATGAGAAATGTGTGAATAGAAATTACAGGAAATTTGCTCATCTGTCTTCAAACAAGTATTTAAATTGGCATATGGTGGCCAAGAGATTTTTTTTGTTAATACCTAATCAGAAAGCATTATTCAGACAAATCATTTCAATAACMGTGGAATTACAGAAGTCTGGTTTCCTGTGAATACTCACCATATAGCAACTGTTGCAACAAGCTCCACTACCTGTGAGCCAGCTTCCTTTGCCCCCACACCTCTGACAAACTGAGCACGGCAAACTGCTCTCTCYGGCCAGTTTTTGAAGCCCAGCCAGTTTGCAAGACCAACATAAGAAACAGGCTGCAGCACAAACCACAAGCCCTCTTTAAGTGAAGGAACTAATTTGGACTTTACAAAACACTCTAAGAACGTGGRTCTCCAAAACTCTTTACACCTGTATCATAGCAGCTGAGTGTGGCTAATGAGTTCAAAAGGAAGGAATAAGAAAAATCAAGTCAACTTTATCAGTCAGTTTATTTTTAAAGTCATGTAAACAATGGCAGATCACGAAGGGAAGCAAAAGTCTCACCTATGCACTACTGTGACACACAGCCCATGAAACTAAAATAGTGCTATTTCCCTGCTTGAGCAATGAAATTCTGTTTTGCGGCTTAGAAGTCTTGGACTAGTTCTGAAAACTGAGAGTCCAAAAGAAGTGAGAGAGAGTATTCGCATTGTTTCTTATGTGAGAGACTAAGATTGGATAGACACAATCATTCCTCAATTTATCCAATTATCCCAAAGCAATTTTAAAACAGTTTCTTTGAATGAAAGTTCTGATTCTAGAATTGCTCTTTCACTTTATCCTGGCCTGAATAATATTATTTTCATTTAGATTATTTGATCTGTACAAGTCCTAATGTTTAAAWCAGGGGGAAAATCTTAATATTAAGKCAACTACTTTACTGAGCMTAGTTTTCTSCAACAGATACTTCTCATGCCTTTATTGCTCTCATCTAAGAACCGTAGTACTAGAACTGCACCAAATTAATATTAGCCTTTATTCCATTGTTGAATTCGGATGCAGTAACATAAGCAAAGGAATTTTTAAGTTTTGACATTTGAAGTGGTTATCTTAGTGGTGACTGTTTCAAGAGTAATTTGATACGCTRCATCATAGAAGCTACTAGATTCTTGTCTTATTTTAATTAAAAAATATACACATTTATAACAAATTATCTATTTATCAGTAAATGCTTTCAGTTAAAAGTATATAGAAACAACTGTAAACTGAAGGCTTTTTGTTGCTGTCCAACGATACMACTGCAACACGAGATTTCTCTGTTCCGCTTTGCTGGACTCATATACCAGAGGAATGTATAAACTGTAAATCCCTACTACAATACATTTATTTATATCCATTTTTAGATTAGGATTTTTCACAAAAAAAATCTAACTTTAACAATGATTTTCCAAYTGCTTATTTTAAAAAGAAAAATAATCTCCTATTAATAAAATTTAGTTCAATAATAAACAAGTGTTAAGAAAGGAGCACACCTGGCTAAAAATACAGGTAGGTACCTGAACATAAAATGACATAATAGAAAATTTTCAGGCATCAGAGTGAAACAAATAACCTTTAAGGTACTGACTGGTTAAAAGGTGTTTAATCTGMAATTTAATATCTACAGGACTATTTCTCTGATAATCATGCAGCARTTATACCTATCTGATTATCCAGTACCATCAGTCTTCCCCAACTATACTCCAAGAAACAGCTTGTTTTCCTACTTAACCAAAATAACTGGTAATAACAAGTTCCTCAGTATGTAGGAAAGAGGAAGTACATCAAATCTCTAGATTACACAAAAAGCAGATGAACATCAAATTACAAGAAACTGGGGGATCAAAAAAGTAGGCAATGATGTTCAATTTAGAGATACTAACAGATTCTAAAGTTAAAAGCTGATCAGAGCAGAGAGTGAAAGTAATGACAGTGTATTTAAATGTCAGAAGAGTTTGAAATGATTTAAGAATCTCAGAAACAGCAAAACTGTGGAAAAAGAGCTCTCTGGCTCTTACAAACTAAGGAACAGCAGCTGTCTAAAATATTCCTTATGTAAATCTTAGCAATGACAAAGGTTCCACATCTTCACATAATTAAATGTCTAATATTAACATCAGAGAGTTGGTTCAGTGCTGCTCTTCAAACCTCTGCACAACTATTTGACAATATACAATTGCACAGACTGTTAGACTTCTGCCAATATGCTTTCAGTTGTTACCACAAACTTAAGTAAACTTTATTTTAAAGATTACATGATACTTTTATGCTTACATCACATTAACTCATAGTTGCATCCCTGAAAAGAAAATGTAATACTGATGCTGTGAATTTTTATTACCTTCAAAAACTTCAGGTGCCATCCAAGCAGCACTTCCTTTGTTGTTGGTCATGTGTGTTTGAATATCACAGGCTGTACCAAAGTCACAGATTTTTAGAACTGTCCCCCCAGCTACCAAGAGTAAACTGTCAAAGAAAAAAAAGGATATTAAAATTGTAGAATCAAGTAGTCTGGTAACAAACCACCGGATTTTTTTTGTTTTTAATCCCAACAACTATCATTCTAATATAGCTGAATATCTTAGGCTTTGCTTCTCAGTGCTTTGTTTSATTATCTGGGAAGTAAGGTCATTTGTGTCTAATATGAACATATTGAATATTTTAAAATAATCCAATATATGTTGTAATTAATTGTTGTAATTGATATTTCCACATGCTAGATTTTAAATAAGTATCTTTAGTCACAGTAAACTACTAARCATATACTGACAAAATTAGTCTTTCAGATGCCAGGACTGAAAACCAACAAGCGTTGAAACAATTTTAATAAAAGAAGAACAATCAAGACTTCCATTAATGYCAGTCAACATCGCTATTTATTTAAATGGAAGCACTTGACGTTACATGTGAACAACTCTCTAAATCAAAACTGGGGAATCCAAGAAAGAACTAAAGATTTAAATTATGGCTTCATGTTATAATTTTACCTGGTAATAACTGCAGGTTACCACCAAAAAGGGATGATTCTGCTGATCCTCAAATATCTGGTTCTACCTAATCTGTGGAGCCATATCTGAAGCTGTAAAATGAGTTGGATAACAAACTGACTAGGCAGAAAACTACTAAATTTTGTTTTGGTGGAAAGTGATGGGAGCTTCTGGTAGGGGTAGTGGAACAGGCAGGAGAGGCTAAAGGAGGACAGCCATGTGGCAAAAGAGGTCAAACACAACAGATTAAACATGACATTAGAACCAATCAACACTCCCACAATGTTCTCTTATTGAACACCATAACCACTGCAAAACTGGAAGATTTTAAATGCCTCTGATTAGAAGCCCCGTTCCTAATAAAATCCTCTTCCATGACAGAGGGCAGAAGCAGGGTATTTTTTCAGTTTAAGAGAAAGTAACTGAATACAGTTCATTTTCTATATCTATATCTATTTTATCTATTTCTATATCACATAACATCATTCTGTAATTGAAGTTTCAAATGCACAGCTTTCATTTGGAATACAATACTTCCAAAAGTTAGTACCAATTAAAAGTTATTTCTTTTAAATGCAATGAAACCACTAAAAATTATCTTAAATTCTAATTACAAGAAAATATGAAAAACGAACCATAAACTTACTTTGGTGGTTTCAGGTCTCTGTGAATTAGAGCCTTTGGTTTCATACTGTGGAGATATGCCACTCCTTGGGAACATTGTAAACACCAACTCATGGCATGTGCAGCAGTGTAATGAGGCAGAGGTTCAGCACCATGCAGCACTGCAAAACAAAGGCACAAACTAAAAAGAACTTTATTGCATATTACAACAGATACAACGGAATTAATAAAATACCAGTCACAAAGCTCTATGGAATCTAAGCAATTACCAAAGCCTCATTACTGCAACTAAAAATATCCTTCTCCAGTCTGTTAAAATAACATAAATGTCAAAATATTTTCCACTTTTTTAGTATGATTTCCATAATCTTTTATGTTAAACTCAATATGAATTGAAAGGTGTTGCTTGTTCTCTGCTCTCCCTAGTAAATCTATACTAAACAAATGCTCAGGGAATTTCCAGATTTAGGAAGAATGTTTTCAGATCTTCCCTGGAAAAATCTAAAATTACTTGTATAAAATATAACAAACTGGYGTCAAGAACAAACCAGTGGACTGAAGAGAGGTTTTAAAAAGCACACTCCTTTCTCCTTAAAATTATTTCAAGAATTTCAAAGAACCACGTAATAATTGGAAGAGACCTCTGGAAATCCACCAAGCAGGTCAAGCAGGCCACCTCCAGCCGGTTGCCCTGGACTGTGGTCAGGTGGCTTCTGAACAGCTCCAAGAATGGAGATATATTTATGAAACAACTTGTAGTTTAGATTACGTTTGCAWTAATACTAGCCCTTTAGCTCCAGGAAGTTGAAATGATACTCACCATTGTACAGGGAACCTCCTTCAGCATACTCCATAACAAGACACACCTTTGGAGGGGAAGGGGACAAAAATAGGGATGTTTTAAATATAGGGGCAGAAAACAGCTTTTGTAAGCAGAAAGGGAAGTTCTTTGAGAGCAACTCTAAAGCCTCTATACCTAAGCTATTAGAAAACATAACAGTCAAGTTGAAATGTATGTATTTACATGTAAGAGAAATCAGTTTTACACKTAGTTCTCATTTTAAGTTAGAAAATAAGACAATGATCTCCCCCCTCCTCAGTCTKAAAAAGAAAATACTGTCTTCAAACTGCAGATCACTGTTCTTTACTTTTTTCCTTTAATGGTTAAAAAAAAAAATTCGTTAAATGCYATATCAAAAGAATTTCACTAGTACTAAGAAAGGTGACACAGCATTACTTAAAGCAATTAAATATCCCATACAAGAATTAGTGAAAAATATTGTCCTGTCACAGTACACTCTTTTCTGCTTTGAGAATTTGTGGGACTGTTTGCAGGTAGGGCAGAAAGCAAGTAAATCCTGAAAATTCCATGTATGAAAATAGGAACTGATTTACAATCTATAATCATGTGTTGCTAATGCATTTACTTTTTGGATTGCTGATGTGCAATTAATAAGATTGTAGATATGAATGTAACCACATCCGTTATACACTAGATGCCATTTGGACAAACTGAAGTATAACTGGTGTTTAGAAATAGCTTTGGGGTGCTCTTGAAAGAAGAAGAAAGAAAAAACAAATATCTGAAAATATCAACCAACCTAAATAGCTGTATACTTCATTCTTATGGCTAAAACATTAAAAATACATAAAATAAACATTTTTTTATATAAAATACACATTCTGTGCATTGATGCATGCATATGTTAAGCTGGTCACCTTCTGTCATACTGACAAAGCTATAACTTACCGGGTTTAGACAGGCTCCATATAACTTGACTATATTGGGATGGTTTACTCGTGACARTTGTCGAAGCTGCAATACAAATTACACAATTTGGAAAAAAGGCTAATGTTTTATTTTCCACCACCACACCAAGTACACCAAGTACAATTTTCTATGTCTGCATAACCCCAGATAGTGGTTTTTAGGAATTAGCACTGATGTCCCTCTTTGCATTTTAATTTATGTAATGAGGTTTGTGTCAAACTGGAACTGTGTTTAAAAAAAAAAAGTTTTAAGAAATCACATATAAAGAAGGAATTTTTTCAGGTTCTACTAAAGTCATTCGAGTCACAAGCACTATGTAACCATGACCTCTATAGACTTGGTGCTCTTCTTAGAGCCTTCAATTTTGGACTATATAAAAATWGTCCGATTACATTAAAAAATCAGAATCATACTGGCTGTTTTCACAACACAGAAGATTAATGTGCTAAAATGCCCAAGACCACAACTTTATAAAATCATTTAATATTAAGATGACACAGTTCCAGCAATGAGCAAATGCTATTTTTTCTATGTTCTACCTCAGAGTGAAATATTTCAACTGATGCTTGCACTGTCCAGGGTTTCTTAAATACCAGTAATTACTGCAGCATTTCTGGGATTATTGACTCAGATSTTTTTCGAACACAAAAATCCCAAGAGACTGATCAAATCTACTCAGTATTAAACTAAACTTGGTTTAATAACCTTAAAAACTTTCCATGGTAATGAACAACATATAAATATTTACAGAGAAGCCTATTACAAACATGCTTTCTTCCGACCTTCAGTGTGTTACATTTTACTAGAGTTAGTTCTAAATTGAAGAGTTTTATTTACAACATATTTTGTGTATCTTGAACATCCTAAATTATAACTGATAAATATTAAGCAGCATGTCACAATATATCTCATTTAAATTAAACTTTTGATTCTAGAACTATCTTGGGAAGTTTGTCAGTATATCTCAACTACTCAAGACATTTTTGAAGGAGCAGACATGGAATGAAAGCAGTGATCCTCCTCCCTCCCCTACCCTTGTCTCCCAGTTTTTATGAGAAGCAAACTAAAGGAGCTGCAATGTGCTTTGACAGGTCTCCTGTTCTGCAAGACAAGGATCCMGATCTGAATGGGGTACCACACACGACATTTATCTTGTGATAACAACTTAGCTKTTAGTACACTACATGCACCCATGAATTTAAGGAAACAAGCTCTACCAAATCCCACATTTTTCATCAAACTTACTGTACCTCTACAATGAAGGCTTTTCTTTCAGATTCACTTTCTATCTGTTTAATGGCTACATCTTTAGCTCGCCATTTTGCTTTGCAGACCACACCAAAGGCTCCTCTTCCAACAACCTAGAACAAAACATRGAACACTACAATTAAAACTTGAAATTGTTTCATCTACTGTGCAGGACTTCWGAAACAAAAAAGAAATTTAATTTAGAAAACCAAAGATACACGGGCTCAAGTTTTGTAGCAAAAATTGAATACTATCCCATCAAAACATAAYTGGTGTTAGCTAAGCTTCCTCAAGAGATCATCTGAAGAATTGGATAACACACATACAAAACATTTTATTACTAATGTGCAGTAACAGTATTTCAGAAAAGTATAATCTCAATTAATTAGACCAAAATTTGCTTAGGAAAAAAATACAGGAATGAGAGCAATTTTTTTTTTTAGGTTTCAACTGTGAAATATCTATCTGCTGTGTTTGTTTATTCTTGCTAAGAACAGGAATTCAAACTTCTGAAATTTAAATGCATACACAAACAACTCCACAGGACCATGATGAAGTCAGGATGAGATTTCAGTGTGATCAGTTATCCCTTTTTTTTCTCACAGATGATTCAAGAGTGGGATAGCAGTAAATTCTCCTGCAAGTTCTCCAAAGAAGCACAGGGTCTATAAACTAAGCTTTCTCTGTTTCTGTTGAAGTCTGCTTTCTAGCTCGTTTAGAATTAACGCTGCCTAAAAATGTGAAAAAAAACAACCCCAGACAAGAGTCCTAACTCTTCACTGTAACTTTGCAGAAGCACTAATAGCAGCTTCTGCATATTATAGTGTTCAATTAATCTTTTAACCTTTGCTGTGAAGAAGCTCTAATACCACCATTATTTAGAGAAGCTCTTTGAAACCAAGCGTGGAAAATAAAGCAGGATAGAGAGAAAGTCACTTTCAGTTACTGCTGAGTTACAGATGATGGTAAATTAAAATTTTGCTTCTTTTAATTGTTCTTCAGAGGCAAAATGGCAACATATAGAAATACTAAAACATATACACAGATGTAAAATTGAAATAAAGGTGTTGCCAAAACAGTGACTGCAGCTGCTATGGGAGAGCACAGACAAGTGAGTTGTTACTTATATGCTCAAAAGAAAAGTGGTGAGGAGGAGAAAACACAAGGTACACAAWGGCGCAGAAGCAGCTAAGGAAAAGGGGCTCCTCCAAATCCAGAAAATGCAAGGCAGGGCAAATGAGAAGGAGGAGAAGGGAGGACAAACAAGGGGCTGACTACTATTAATGTGATCCRTTCTTGGATTAGGTTCTTACTGCGTGCTTTCCAAATGAATTAATAGTGAAACTGATTTCCCCTGGGAATGGGGTAGAAAAGATTGCAGGTGCCTAACTCAAGACCTGCAAAACTGTCATTATGGATATGAGAAAGTCTGCAATCCAGGCCCCAATCTGAAGAGATGAAAAATATAAAGTAAAAAAACACACCAARATCTTGTATTAAGAACGATCAAATAAGGGAAATTAAGCTTAATATTTTTGAAAGGTTTCATGTGGATATGAGATACAGCTGCCCATGACAGCCATGGTGATCAACGGCACTTTCTTCTCCTGCTTTCCTTATTACATTAAGAAGTATTTTTCTCTCTTATATTACAGCATGCACTTAGCCTTCCAGAAGTTCCAGCCTTCTCATCTTTACCCTCCACAACAGTGTTTCACAGACTGAGTCTGCCATAAGATGTCCACAAGATATGCACAGAATATGCCCCATTCTGCTCCATTTAAGAATGGAACCTGTCGAYTGTAACCCCTCCTCCAGTCAAAGTCCAGGGCCTTGACTCTTGTCCTGTCATAACACACACTATTTTCTTGCATTCCACAAGGGAGGTTGGAAACACCAAACCATATGAATGATYGCCGAGCAGCCTACAAAAATAGCTCATATAAACAAATTGGAAACAATGAGTCACTGGAAGACATAAAAGTCTCAGTCTTAGCYGTTATTTCCTTTTCTCAGACCATGATTTGAATAAAATTGCCCATTTTCTTGTGGTTGGCAGGCCCCCCATCTTCTATTGCCACAAGAGTTGTCCAGTAATATGCATCTACCCACCTTGCATAGCACATGACCAGACTTACAGAGTAAGAAAAATCTCATCGGTGTGTATGCCATWAAACCTGCATTTCCCAGAAGTGCTGATTATTGAGCACCTAAAAATCCACTGTGCAAGCACATGAAGCTCAGCAGCCTGCTCACACTGGGGAAATGCTAAGGACAGCTAATAAAAGAAGGATGCCACAGAGTAGCTCATGCAGGAAGAAGTGTATTGGCAGCAGCAATACCGTTTCCAGATTTCTTCCTCCYCTACACTGTGAAGGAACCCAAAGAGGGTTAACCAAATCAGTGCAAAGAGCTCTGCCCTCCATTTAGGGGAAAGGAGGTGGGCATATAATGAATTCTCCTAGGTGGATACAATTGGACTACAGTGCAAGCCTCTGTGAGCCTCCTTTTAGAAGGTTCCTTTGCTTAATATACCTTTTCTCATATTCTTTCAGTTTTTGACTACAACTCTGTTAAATTTAATCCAGTGACAGAAACATAAAGAACTATTTGAAAACAGTGMATATACATCAGTTAAAAGATGGTCTCAAAATTTAATGAAGTAATTTGACCTTTTTTTGACTTAGCCTGAATCACTTATAGCAGGTTGTGACGGGTCAGGCTTACTTTTTTTCTGGCTAGTCATATCTGTCCTTGATAAAAGATTTGTATATGTCCATATGTACAAATACACTCTATGTATTATGTATATAATTTTAATATTATGATTATGCAATATATATACTACATATATTTTTATATATTAAATATATTTTTCACATCTGTAACAAAAAAAAGAAAGCCCACTTATCTCTTGCATTTGATAATTCAGTTCATAACTCAATATAAATGCATACTGCTTCCCTRCAGATAAATCCATGACTATTTGCAAGTTACATCCTGAGAACTGATACATATATGTCCACCTCATATACTAAAAAATCATTGTTTTTCAATGTTGTTGTACTTTTAACAGTGCTTCTATTAAATGAACAAACTAAGAAAATCAAGTATACTGCCCAATATAACATTTCACATTGTGCTATGAATGTCACAAGATTTGGGTTTTAGCTGAAAAGTGGAATAAATTCCAAGAATCAGATGCACTTTAAGAAGTCCCACTGAGCACTGGAAAAAAAMCAAACAGTAAATAAAATCAGTATCAAGCACCAAGAGTAAGAGTTTATCAGGCAATCTAAACCTTAATGTCATAATAAAAGCTGTGAGACCAGGAAGTATGTAAATTTTACTGTTAGTGAAAATAGTTTGATAAATGATTATGCAGTCAAGGTTTCATAGCAATTTATCAGTGACTTGGTGCCTGCTTAAGCAGAGGGTTGAACTTGAGAAGAGGGCATGAATGTAGTGAATATTTACCTAGGATACAGGGAAAACAGAAGAGCCGATCCTCCATTAAAGCAGCCCAGGCTCTTGGACAGCACACGAAAGGAGCAACCATCAGAAACAATGACAGATCTAATACAAATTAAAGTTTACCATATGTGAAAACTCAAGATGTTTTGCTTACTTAGTCTGGAAAAAGTACCTTATTCATAGCAAAAAACCCCTTTATAATCGTCGGAATGCTAATGGTGGAGTCCATTTACACATAATTTTCTTCCCTTGAACTTACTCTTTAAAGCAGTAAGTCTTAGATCTTGTCAGAACGGTTTAAACACTGCAGTTTCTTTCAGCACTGAGTACTGGAACTAAGTAATTTAATAGCACAGGAGGGAGGCACTGCCTGAACTTTAGTTTCTTCATGCTCATTCCTTCTTGTCCCCTGCTGTTGGTGCCACACCATATGTTTGGGCAATAGTGCATATTCGGAATTATATGAAGCACAGTTAATGGAATTATTGACACAACAAATCAATAAACAGCAGTTGATCTGTAGCACTGTGTGTGTCTGGAAAATGATCTAAAAATAAACACATTATTGTGGTAAAAGATTTTGCTCCTCTAAATACCTTTTAGGTGAAAAAAAGGAAAATATAGGGCAGATGAGACATTTAGAAMTAGAATAAGAACAAGTGTGCTTCTACCTTTCCCACAGAAGAGAATTAAGTTTGTCAAAAACCATTTGGCACATGACACAAAAACATTTTAAACTGGGAGTAATAACTAAAGAGCTTTGAAGATTTAGAAGTGTATTAAAATTTATTCTACCTATAAAATTCATACCAGTAAAATGTTACATTTTACCGTGTGACWAAGTGACATGGTGAAGGACAGTGCCACTTGCATGTTTTCCAGATAATGTATTTAGAGTCTTATTTAAAGAATATGAACCATACAAGAGCCCTGGAACAAGCATTACCTCTGTCTCTGTGTACAAATAGTATCAAATGCTGTACATAAACAAAGATACATGATACTGACTTGTARGTATGTAGACTATACTGACTGGTAAGTTATGTAGACTAGAAATCATGCAGGAAATAGAGACTGCAGATATGTTAAGACCTTAAGGATGTATTTTGTCCTAAGGGATGTGACCAATAATTTCTCCTCACCCAGTAAAAGTAAAACAAGAAAACTGCATCTCTGTTTGTTCAGATGCACCATAATTCCCTAACAAATGTCAAAAACTTGGAAGAATTAACTTCAACTTGGCCCTAACTGTACAGGTTTTCTATTAACTTAGAATCATAAAAATGCAAAGTTTTCATCTATACCCATAAAGTTTCCATGTAAGGTAGCTCTGCATGCAGGATACCTAGTGCTTTTCTTTCTAAAAAAAACTTGCTGGATATATAAGACAGCAATAAAATATAATAGCTCCGTGGTTAGCAGATGTAGTGTTCTTTGGAGAACTGACTTCATAATTTGCAGTATCTACTGCATGACATGCTTGTTTATGATTTCGGGAAGCAAGACAAGCAGTTACAAAAATCCAGCAACAGAAACCCAACAAAACCTGTGTTTCCAAACTGACAGCAGGCTTCAAGTTACCTTTAATATTTATGTTGCTTTGTTTACTGGTATTATTTGCCAATGAAATGGTATATAT